ACAGAAGCTCCCCACACCTCTACATAAACCTTACACCCCCAACAGAAGCTCCCCACACCTCTACATAAACCATACACCACCCACAGAAGCTCCCCACACCTCTACATAAACCATACACCCCCAACAGAAGCTCCCCACACCTCTACATAAACCGTAAGACCCCCCAAAGAAGATCCCCACACCTCTACATAAACCGTAAGACCCCCCACAGAAGCTCCCCACACCTCTACATAAACCGTAAGACCCCCACACAGAAGCTCAGTCCTGAAAGCTGCTTTACCCATATTTTCTATGCCACAAAGTCACCCCGGTTATCAAGGACACCTAAACAACCAGTGACTAGACAGTCTCCCCCTTGCCAGATGCCAATGTATCAAGGCCACTGGAGTAGCATATACAATATTTTACAAGAACATTCTAATTGTAGAAACTCTTCAAATGCCCTCCAGTCTCTGAAACAAATCTCAAAAAAAGCAAAAAATCAACAAGGAAGCGTATGTTTATGATAGCATTCTTGTTCACAAATACCCACAACGTAGAAAACATTTGTCTCAATCATGCATAGACCATTATAGCCGAGAAGAGTGACTCAAAGCATGCTTGCACACTTCACGTCCCCTGACAAAGAGCAGAAAACATCTGCTCCAAGTTGTATTACTGGGCAGGGAGGAGGGGCAGGCAGAGGAAGCCAACAACCCATGCCTTCAAGAGGAAAAAAAGGAAGAAAAAACACCCAGACAAGACAGACAGCAACAAATGTTTGATTCTTGTAGCAGTCATAAAACCTGACTCTTGAAAATCAATCTAGTAGAAGAATCGCCTGCTATCCACAAGCATCTGCAAGCAATCTATTAGATGTGTTTCCCTCAATGCCTCTTAACCTGACTTTTGGTTGCAATAGTGCAAACTGCAGCTCGGCCCACTAGAAAAGAAACAAGGGGTGTTTATTTGTACTGTGGCCACATACATGAGCCATGAAATATCATTTGAAACTCCTTCCCCATAAGGGCAGCTGTGTTGGTTGCATGTGACACGTGCAATTTACTTTTCTTTTTTCCTGTGTCACACAAAGTAAAATCGAGGAACAAGGTCATGTATATTGAAGTATAAAAGCCACATAATATTATAGACACTATGAGCAAACTAAGAGCAGTGTGGTTACTTGGTGAAATCTTGTTGCGAGTCCTTATGACACAAAAATTCAAAGCAGTTGGACTGAGTACAGTACGTTCAGCATTTTAGGGCCTCGAGTTAGGTTAAGTGACACTAAACTGAGGAGTTAAACCTTAAAAATGCATTCAAGTATCCTAACAATTAAGAAAAAAATGTCTCTCATAAACTTTAATTCATGCATTTAAAATCACATACCCTGGTATTTTAAAATTCAACATATGATAAAGAAATAGTGAAACATGCTTGTCAAAATAGTCAGAACATCCAGAGATAAAGACTTGATAAAACCTGAACTTTGCCTGTTGAGCTTGGCTCCTCCCACCTCCTTCCCAAACCCCCTATTGTCTCTTTTGTGTGATAAAAGGCTTTATGGACAAATAGGGAAGAAGCTAGAAAATTTAAAGTGACACAAAAATCTTAAAAAATGCATTCAAGTACCTTAACTATTAGCAAAAAAAAAAATCGTATTTGTGTATCACTCGGCTGTAGTTCCTCAAATCCATCTCTGAATTGGTGCTGACACTGTGCTTCCTTCTGGAGGGTGGCTACTTTTCTTCCCCATAGTCCCTGTGTGTGTTGTAAAGTAGTCACCGCTCCAAGCTAGCTCCCGTGATAAACTACAACCTCATGTTTAGTTTACTCATTAGTTTACTTATTAGTATTGAGAATCTGTTCAATTGAGATTGTAGTCTATCACGTGGGCTACACATGTGGGCTTTCCGGATATAAATACTTGTTCCAGGTCACTGACCCGAAAAAAAGCCAGGCAACAGCCATTTTCAAAAGGAGAGGTCATCGGTGGTGTGCCTTGTTGTGGCTCGTATAATGTGTAAGGCACTGATTTTCAGGTTGTGTTCAGGTCAGGTATTCTGGAGGGTGAAGGGGGTTAGTGTTAAAATGACCCCACTTTTTTGGCTCCAAAAACGGTAATTGAATACTACTGGTACAAGGTTCTCAAAGCCAACAGCTTGTGTACTGCAAAAACATACTGCAGTACTATAGAAATAATGGGGATTACATGGGCATACAGAGTGATTTGTAGCTTGACCTTTATAACTAAGAAATACACTGGTACATGCAATAATAAAGACTTCCTTAGCAAGGATCATTTAGCAATAAGGAGAATATCTCATTTCAGAATCCAGATAAGACCAGGCAATGAGCAGTTCACTATTCAATAGACAAGCTTGTAGTAGCTGATCCAGATACATGTATACAAGGCTGTGGCAGCAAAGTTCTGTACAAAGGGTGCACATTGCTGAACGCTGCCATCTAGTGGCTATATTTAATTAGGTCACACCGTGCAAAACCAAAGAGGAAG